CGAGTTCAAGAAGCGGATATCTTTGCGACTGTTGATCGGAGGTTAGGCATTGTCCACAGCAAGAGGTGTCGATGTATTATAATTGAACTGTGTAAATAGTTATATATTTGCTTGTAAACTTATCGGATGGATGTTTCCTTGAGCATGGCAATGCTTCTATCTACCATTCGACCTCTACCCATTCATTTAACTTGAAAAAAAGTATAAATTTGTCAAATTGGGAAAAATGAAGAACAGTTTAAAATCGGGTTCAAATGCTGACGATCCGCTTTCGTAGCAATAGGAACTATGTACGTGCTACGGAGGAGAAACTGACATTTGTGTTGCCAAGGTGTGGATCAGCGTGTGCAGAACAAACACGTGCTATTGTGCGCACACCGTGGATCTGCCCGGCTTGCAACTTTCTTTTGGGATTAATGCCTGTGCTCAACAGCCAGAGTAGACACGAACACGTAAAACCAGCCGCGCAGCGTAGGCAGACGTTGCCGGGCGCGAGCACAAAGACGTGCCTCAGACTGCCCGACTAGTTTGATGTAGCCAGTAACTGACCTAAAGTGGCGGATGCCACCTGCTTTCGAAACCCATCTCAGATACAAGGTCACTGTACTTTAAATCTCTAAATCGAAGGAGACTTGGTCCTAAAGACATCACCGGTGTGTGATCCTGTTCATTGCCACCAATATCCATTCAAGAATAGTTGCGCTTCTCGCAATACCTTGGCCACAATTCCTCAGTGTCGCTCCTTACAAATTCGTCGATTTCGCCGATCGACAAGCATGCGTAGATGGCCAGGAATGGCTGGACGTGTAGCCAGCCAATGCACAAGCAAGGTTATAAATTTTTGCGGTATTGCTACATATTTTTGCCTGTTAAATTATCCTGAAAGATCCTTCCAATGCTTTGACGAAAGCCATTGGCACCGTTAGTCGCAGGCATATGCTTCCAGTTAAGTTTTTGGCAGCACGTTCGTGCCAACCACCGACAACTCGGACCACATGATCATCATCTGATCTCCACACAGACCTGTGATTGCCGGGCTCGCCCCACGCCGCACGATCCGGCCTGCTGGTGCATAGCACCAGCTGGTCTTGCAGCCGTGCTAAGCCGTACAGCCCTGCTCATCTGGCTGTCGCCCGGTTCCTGGTGACTAGGGCTTAATAGTGGCAACTGCTGTCGAGGAACTACAATGCCGGCCTGCGCATTTTCTCGCTGCAGAAAACGCTGGTTTTGTATGGTAAGACTTTCCAAAATTCAATTTGCGCTTGAGTGGCGGGGTGCTGGGAGCTAGGTAAACAATTTTATGGCAGACGGAAGTCGAAGCGCATATTTTCTGAAAGGCAAGACAGTAATTAGATCCATTATTTTCCTCTTCGCTATATCGGATTACAAAGGTGGCGATGTCCAGAATGAGCTGGTCCTGGGCTCTGGGGCATGTGACGTGTGATGACGCCTGTTCGCGGTGTACAGATGGCTCAGAGACAAATGAGACAGTGGGGTGTGCATGTGTAAGCGACTCGGCCATTAGGCCCATCCGAGCTGCCCTCAAATGGGCCAGTTCTCACTATGAATCAGAAGCCACCACTAAAGCATTATATTGTGTTAAGATTTTGTTTGATTAACATTACGTTTTGTTATTTTTGTCACTTAAAGCTTAATATATTATTTTGACCGCAGCATTTTGGTTGTAAAGATGTTTAACCCGCAATGTCCCTTTGGTGCAAGATATTAGGTTGCGTTGTCAACAACTTGACAGACGGACAAGAAAATTACATTGTTAGGGCCCCCTACCCATTTCAAGCATTAAGGCAAACTAGTTGGGTGATGCGGCACCAAAACGAGCAGCGCCGCAGCGTGTGAACGTGCGGTTTTGCTTCCTGTGCGGAGCTTATACGCAGCCACCAGGACATACATGAAAAACCGGCAACATAGCTAGATACGATGGCCAATAGCAAGCTTCATGCCATAACGCCCAGCAGGAGCCCAGGTGATCCTGCTCCCCGCCGGTCTCGACGAAAAGAAATCATGCTTAGAGAGCTGTGCTTTGGCCACGCCCATGCGAGTCGCTAACTAGAACATACTTGTGGCGAAGAGATACCACGGTGTCCTCACCGTGGTGCTCCGCTAACTGTGCACCGTGAGATTCGATCGTGTTTGCATTTTAGTGGACCGAACACCTGTGCTGTCTGGACGGTGTGCTTCAGTGCTTCAATTTGATGCTCAAGAAAATGACTCTCCTTTATTTGACACAGACAAACTATTCCACTCCTGAGGGTTAGAGATTTTTCAGCTACGTACCAACTGAGCTAGATAGTCAACACTTCAGTCTCTGGGTCGTTACGGTTGCCAAATGACCGTGGATGTCGGCGCGCCCCAAATACCCAATTATCATCATGCATCGATGTGGAAAATGAATCTGCCGTTTGCATACCGACGCGTTTCAAAACACCATTTATTATTTTCCCATGCCAAAAGTGGGTATTGGGTTACCGTTCAATAGTATTGGGCATACCATCCAGGAACGTTTGGTGATGAGGAGCTGAAAGTTTCGGCACAAAGCAGCGAGAGAATATATAATGAAGCCTGTTTCCTATCATGTTCACCGGGCCCGGAAAATTATGTGACTATGGTATCAATAGTTATTGGTCCACGCCTCTCACTTTCAGAGACCTAAACCTATGCTTGGCCAACGGTACATGCGTCGCTACGGCGGGCGGGTGGCGCGGTTTGGGTGGACTGGACTGGCAGGTTGAGGAGGGAGTGGGGGGGGGGGGGGGGGGGGGGGGGGCTAAGCCACGCCCGGTCGCCAGCTGGCACGGCGCTTGGGGCCTCCCCCCGGCTCAGGAATGGCGTCGCCTCGAGGCGCCGACGACTTCGGCCGAAGTTTGGCAGATGGCGGGCTTCGGTGCCGTACGCGAAAGTGCGACGTCGGTTGCTCCGCCCGGCATACTAGGAGCTTCCTCAGCGTGTTAAGGTTACGTAATGTAAGATTTAGGCACGGGCGAAGATGCGCACGAGTGTCCGTGATACAGGGCCTTTAAGTTACAAGTTAAGTTTAAGTTAGCTGACGTGTGGACATTTCAGTCGCGAAATGTCGGACTCGCGGGCGGACAAAAGCGCATCATTCAAACCGCCAGGCTTGCGCATCGCCGAATTACGCTCCCCAACCTTCATTATGAATCCGTCGAGATAGCACGGCCACGTCCGAGGTCCTTGTTTGGTAACGCCGGCGGCGGGTGCCTCTCGCCGCGGTGGCCCCGACACGCCCACACCAAGCCGCGGCCGCACGAGGTTCACACCTGTTCACACCTGTGCGCTGGATTCCGCGTACGATGGCTGCCATTACGGCGCCTTGGGAGCGATATTTCCGCCGCGCGCCAATACATTACCGAAGAGAACAGCGCGTATCGATGAAGGACAAGCTCCGCTTGAGGCAAGTGGGGTACCAAACGCAAATTCTGTGTTTAATGTTCCGGGGGGGAGCAGTTACAACACGAGGAGGGCAGGGCGCTCGAGGGATGTGAACACATGGAAAAGGCTAGAAATATGCTAGCGGCGGCGTTTCATTTCACCAGAGATAGTTCGCCTCCCCTCCCCCCCCCCCTTCTCAACTTGTTTAGTTTCTATGCCAGCGACCAACCAGCCTGGGTGACTGACTGGTGATGATTGACCGATGATTCGATGACCGATACAGGTGTGTCCGATTACGTTGAAATCTCCATTCAGCTAGTCGTTGGTGTATAGAAACTAGGACTAAGCGTGGCGTTGCCTATTACGCTACGTTTCCTCGTACCCAAATTGCCCATTCAAAATCATGCGCGATCGGGCGTTATTTATTAACCATGCTTTTTACGTTATTTGCAGTGGCGGGGCCATGAGGGAGCTTTTGAGAGCATCTCCTGTGAAGATGACTGGGCTCCCTGGCGTCAAGGACTTTATTATTTATGGCGTTTAAAAATCGCCCACAGGTCGGGGCGTAGTTTTTCAATGACCAATGCGGGGGGTGGGGGGGGCGCTAAGCTGTAAAGAGAGAACGAAAGCTAGCCCCAAAATACACCAACAAGCGGGTTTGGCCACGGCTTTGGCCCATTTTCTTCTCAAAGTTGGCGGAGCCCCCAACCGAATAGAAAACTACACCACTCCCCATAGACCTTCTAAAACATTTAAAGCGAGTCTATGGTGTATCGAAGTAGCATCTGGATGCTAAATTGGTGCTCTAAATTCAAACCCTCGCTACGTGGCTGGTTATCACCCACCTCGTACCCAGCGTCGGTCCCACTTACAAATGGCTGGGCAGTTAACCAAAGACTTAGCCTCGGAGTGCTGCGTCGATTCGACTTCTCACTACGCTTCCAATAAACGCCGACGCCCTCGACCTGCACCATCCGATCGGGTCGTAGTGGGCGCGTAGTTTCGCGGCATGACGGGGGCCGCCGTGACGTCACGACGCGTGCGCTGTTTGGCCCGGGCACCTCCGGCCCGGAGAGCCGTTCGGCGTGGCTGGCGGCCAGTCCTGGGCGGCCGCCCGCCGCTGAACGTGTGGGTGGTGCGAGTCCGGCAGAGAGGCGAGCCGGTGCACAGCGAGCTGTGTCCTCGCGTTGCGGTGGCTGTGTGACCGCGCCGAGCGACCCCGTGCGCCAGCGCCACCGGCCTGCAGCGCTGCAGATGAGCTGCGCCAGACGTTGCCGGTGCAGCAGCGCTTCAGCCACGAGCGTCGCGCGACGCCGGTGATTCCCGGGGGACGACCCCCCCCCCCGCTCCGCTCCCGTCCCCCGTGCCTTAGTGCGGTGTGCACCCGTGAGAGCGGCGCCGTGCCCGTACGCACGCGGTGACCCGCTATCCGACAGCAGCGACCGAAGCCCATGGCGACCAAAGTGGGAGGTGAGGAGCCCTGCCAAACGTGACTGGAGCACGGCCAGTGAGGAATGACTGATAATGTGGGGAGGCTCAGTGGCGGACAGCGGAAGGCGCAGGGGCAAGCGAATATCCCTCCGCTGGGCCGGAAGACCGCTGGATGGAAACACAGGGACATGGAATCACTGGATCGGTTTGCAAAGTATGCTCAAATGGGAATTCCTCTATAAATTCACCGTTGAAGTGCTTTTGTGTCCACTCCATTGAGGGTGCTCGTTCAGATCGGATTGAGTCCCTTCCATTGCCACGACATGTCCGTCTTAAGGTCTCCATTTTGCGTGCCTACGCTTGTGGGAATGTATGTTTAGTGACGACGGTGCGTTTCGCGTCCCAAATGAGCGATTCTGCATTATTTCGGGCGGCTAGGTCTATCAAGCTTCGGGCCTGTTCCCCGCGCGGGGCGTCAGATGTGCTCTTGCCACCGCCGGGTCCTGTGAGTGCGGTCCTGTTCCCCGCGGGGGGCGTCAGATGTCCTCTTGCCACGCCGGGTCCTGTGAGTGGTCCTGTTCCCCGCGCGGGGCGTCAGATGTCCTCTGGCCACGCCGGGCCTGTGAGTGGGTCCTGTTCCCCCGCGGGGGCGTCAGATGTCCTCTGGCCAACGCCGGGTCCTGTGAGGTTGCGGCCCTGTTTCCCCCGCGGGGGCGTCAGATGTCTGCTGGCCAAGCCGGGTCCTGTGATGTGGTCCTTCCACCCGTCACGGTCGTCAGATCCTTCACCAACGCCGGGTCCTTTGAGTGCGTCCTGTTCCCCCGCGCGGGGGCGTCAGATGTCTCTGACCCCGCCGGGTCCTTTTAGTGCGGTCCTGTTCCCCGCGCGGGGCGTCAGATGTCCTCTGGCCGAAGCACGGGTGGATGGTAAGTGATTGCAACGGCCTTGATTGAACGCCAGCGGCGAACGTGCCAGCTCATGACCAATGGGCTGGCACGTGATTTCTGCTCTGCCCGGTTTGTGGTTTTTTGCTGTGTTGGTGCGGTCAACGCTACCCACGTTGAAGGGCGATTGTTCTCTGCATATGTCCATCTTATTTCCCGTGGCTGCTATCTTTTGCCCTAAGGTTTGCGTCCAGTTCTGAACCGGCTGTTCACGTCTTCCTGGGCGACGGCCCGCCCCAGCCCCCCCCCCCCCCCCTCCCCCCCCCGCGGTCGCCGCTCTCCGCGACCGCCGAGGCGGACCTGTGGCGTTACGTGACAGTTGTGCGCGGATCCGGTCATCGCTTCCACGGCGACCGTACAGCCCGTCTCATAAATATCGACGCAGGCTTTTACTGCCTGGGTCATTGCTGTCGTTAGAAGGGCTCATACACAATTGCAATGCTTACTACCCGTGGGAACTCCTAATTCTTGACATTGTTCGTCCCGGACCCGACGGCAGGTGATTTTGGTGAAGAAGAATGATGAATTTATGACGCGGTGCTCAATTCTTCAGCACGTGGTTGGCCGTACTATTTCAGGCTATGTCACCAGCCTGTGTGCTAGGCCAGTTCGTGAGAGGGAGGGGGCGGTGTAACCGGTTCGGTGCGGTCGAACCTGTCCTGGCGTTCGGCAGCCGCCGAGGTCCTGTGCGCCCCGCTGGCAGGCCAGGGCCGGCGCTGAGACCGGCCCTAGATGTCGTCCCCGAGGCCTCAGACCGTATCTGCTGGCGCACAGATGAGTGCCTTCCGCGTGGTGACAGTTGGCAGCTCTCTCGCGTCCTACCATTTCGCTTGTTGCGCGTGGCGTGATGCATCCCACTGTTGTGATGTCTTGCGAACGTCGCCACGTAACAGCCCCGCCTTCCGCCCTGTCCGTCGGCCGTGCGCCCAACAGACACCCGGCCCTGTCTGCCGGCGCGTTGTTGCCGTTACCGCTCCGACAGCGGTGCTCGTGGCCGCTCCGCCGCCGCCGCCACCGCCGCCGCCGCCGGCAGTGTGCGACAACTCGGAGGCGGTGCGGCGACCGGGACCGGGACCAGCAGCACCCCCGCAGACGGGCGCCGGCGCATCGGGGGCGCTCTGGGCCGGTGCCGCCAGAGATCGCTGAAACACGCGGTCAGCGGCCGCCGCCTCGGAGATATCGAGTGCGTGGCCCGGGGACTAGAGAAACAGCTAGCATTAGGCCTATGCGTTACGTGATAAGAAACGCGTCGTAAATATGTATGTCCCCCCCCCCCCGGAACATGTTATGAGCCCTCCCCCCCCCCCCGCTACGTCGATACAACATACTGACCAGAAGATATATTGACAGGATGTGCGGTTGGTAGAAAAATGGGCTGATGACGTTGTGTGCAGATTTGTCGAATTTAGGAGCTTGGATGACATATCGCATTTCATACTTCATACGATATCTATTATATATATATATATATATATATATATATATATATATATATATATATATGTGTGTGTGTGTGTGTGTGTGTGTGTGTGTGTGTGTATACGTATAAGCCGGGCATTATAACTTAACGGTACATAGCGCAATTGGGCATCCATAAAACGCAAAATAGTCCTTCGGAAGCGTCAGATGACGCACAGACCATCGTCACCCAAACAGGGCTGGTGTTGTAGCTTCGGCTCGGCTTTACCTCGTGTTGCTATTACCGTGAGTGCGAGCTCGGTCGCGTGCTTGGTACTACGTTCTCCGACCGCGTAATGCACGGGGGGAGGGGGGGGGGGCGAGTCGCGTGACGATCCCATTGGCGGTCGGTTCCGAAATATGTGAAGTAATGAGGAACTTTGATCTGAAGCCAGCGTGGTTTGTCGCTTGGCTCAGCAGCCCATTGTCTGCGGCAGCCTGGCTCAAAGCCTTCACAGTTGGCGTCGGTTGACGGAGCGGCGTTGACGTTGACGGTTGGCGTGGGTTGGCGGGACGGCGTTGACGGACGCGGCCCTTCACCAGCGGCAGGTGACGTCACGAATCAAATGTCGGTGTTCAGCTGCCCGCGCGGGCTGAGTCACACCAATGGTCACCTGTCAGGGACCGACGCGGTGTCGCCCGGGAGCGCCGCTGTTGCAGCGGCGGGCCTCTAAATACCGCGCCGGTAAAGGGCGCCCGATTTGCAGAGTGTCAGAAACGCCGCCATGCATGTGGTAACGCAGTTATGGCGGCACGCAATTCATAATGCGGTGGAGCGTAGCGTGGGCTATATGAATAATAGATATGCGGTGGTGTGCTCACTAAAACGTATTCATCGGCACTTCCGTGGAATGAACTTTTGAATGCCGAGGTAGGGTAGCACCAGCTGTAAATGCACAGACGGCGACCGAGCAATAAATGCCATTTTCGTTGCTGCCACAGAGCCGCAAGGCGTCTACCGCCGGGAGTGCAGTGGCAGTACTCAGCGCCCCAACCAGTCGCTAAGTTCACGACCTGAGCCTGGTCAGCCTGGTCAGCCCGGAGCCACGGCCTGCGACCTTGAAGTGCGCGCAGGTCAAGGTCGCAAGTCGTGCCACCCGGCGAGTCGGGGGTCTCCGGACGCGACCCTTCTGTCTGACCTGTCGGCTTCAGTCCCCCAGTGATGGGCTCACTGCTTTCGCATTCGCCTGGCCCGAGTGGCACTCTGCTGCGGTCGTCGATGAGGCCCAGCGACGCCGTGCCGTGCCGTGCCGTGCCGTGCCGTACCGTGCGTGTCTTGTCACCTGCACCGCTCCCGTGACGGGCCAGCTCGGTCGGGCGCTGGCTGACAGGCGGTGCCGTGCTGGCCGGTCCCGTGGCCGGCGTCAGCACCTGACCCGGCCGACGGCATGGACGGCACGTCCCCGGCCGGTCCCAAGCCTTCTCACCGGGCGCGCTACTGGGGTCCCTGGTGCTGGGAGAGACCCGGTCCCCGGCCGGTCCTGAGCCTTCTCACCGGGCGCGCTGCTGGGGTCCCTGGTGCTGGGAGAGACCCGGTCCCCGGCCGGTCCCGAGCCTTTTCACCGGGCGCGCTACTGGGGTCCCTGGTGCTGGGAGAGGGCCGGTCCCCGGCCGGTCCCAAGCCTTCTCACCGGGCGCGCTGCTGGGGTCCCTGGTGCTGGGAAAGAGTCGGTCTCCGGCCGGTCCCAAGCCTTCTCACTGGGCGCGCTGCTGGAGTACCTGGTGCTAGGAGGGAGCCGGTCCCCGGCCGGTCCCAAGCCTTCTCACTGTGCGCGCTGCTGGGGTTCCTGGTGCTGGGAAAGAGCCGGGCTCGACGGCATTGCTGTCTCTACACTTCTGCAGTGTTGCTGTCGCCTCAGACCAGCTGTCGCATAAGCGGCCCTGCTGCGGTAACCTAAGGAGTTGTCCCCCGTGACGTCACTCTGCGCCCAGCTGGCTCTCGCCATAATAATGTCGTGCCCGGTGCCGTAACGCTGCCCTCGAACTGGACTCTCCGTGGGGCTCTCTGCGGACCTCTCCATGGGGCTCTCCGTTGGACTGAACTCTCCGTTGGCCTCCGGCTTACAGTGCCCGGCGTGGCCGCCAGCCGAGAGCGGCAGCTTCACTCAGCTCCAGCTGTGAACACTCCCGCTCGCCGGGAGCTGAACAGATCGGCCGGCCCCGGCTGCTCGGCGCTGTGCCTCGTCGGCCCGGCACGCGGCGGGGGCCGGTGGTCCGCAGACGGTCAGTGGGAGGCCCGGTGCGGACCGCGAGACCCCCCGCCAGCGGGCTGATAAGTGAAATCCGACATGGGTCGTGTTCGAAGTAACGGACCGACCAGCAGCGCGCGCCGTCTACGGAGCCTGGTATTGGCCAACGCGTCGCTGGGTTGTTATTGGCTGCCCAGTTTAATGCATACGATCGCTTCTCGAGCCGCACCGTAATTCAGATACTAATGACTAATTAAGGCATGCACCAATTAGCAATTCAGATACCAACGCGAGTCAGAAATTATGCCGCGTTTCACAGGCACAGTATCTTCATTTTTGTTCAAGAGCTTCGCAGTGCTCTGGATTTGAGGTCACACGTGCCGGACATTCCGCGCCCAGTTTCGAACAGCGGTGGTTCCTCCACGACCTCCACGTGCGCCAATCTAGACGTCAGCTCGCGCCGCGCGCCAGTGAAGCCCGCGCCGATTCCCAGCACCGGCGCCCATCTGCGCCACCTGCGTCGCCCGCCGAGCGCTCCCGCGCGCCCGACCGCGCCGGCACGGACCATTCATCGCCATTGGTCGCGGCCCGCGCCGGCGGCCGAGCCTCCGCCGCGGAGGGGC